ATAAATAGTCAGCCTAAAATAACCTTCACTTTCACTGCGTGCATTGCCTTCTCCACTGCTGCATTCTCTTCCTTGATCATCATCTTATTTCAGGCAATAAACAAGGTATTTTAAAAGTACCAGCTCTTCAGATAACTTGCAAAACAGATACTTTGGACTGTACAGTCTCCCATTTGTGAGCAATCATGATCAGACTTCATGGTACTCTAAGTGAAAACAGATTATCCAGCAATTAGCTTACATGATGTAGTATTATTTAACGTAATCAGAAACACTAAAATTGAGTGAGAGACAGAAACGTAGCTCAAGACTAAATGAAGTTAAGGTGATGCAGAATGACTATCTTTCTCCACGACGACTCCACTTTGGAAAGCAGAACAACATTCTCTATGTAGTCCCATGTGTGGTTTCCAAGAACCATTTCAGGAATGATTTTTTTTGCAAAATTTCTTTCTCCATTACTGTTTTCCTTCCTTCTGAGCACAAAGTTATGCTAATATTCTTACGGATAACAGTAGAGCCTCCTACTCTATGATTATCACTTATATCATTCACCAAAAGTTCCTTAAATCTAAAAGGCAAGGAGCCTGTTCATTTTTGTGTTTGCTTTTTGCTTTAACTTTCAGACTTTACCTGTTTGTCTTCAAATCAGGAAGTCATGTAGACTGTGTTGTTCACACTTAGCAGCACAAGACATTTTCCATGAGGCAGTTCAGGGCTTAACTCACTATTTATTCTGGAGGGTAAGACCTATGAACCAGTGGGTCCATCCATACATACTCTGCCTTAACGCAGAAGTCTCAGATGACTGGAAGGCAGCTGCAGTATATGGTGCATATGCACAGCGCTTAGGGGAGAAGCACTTTACAACTGCTATACTGTTATTCAGGAGAGTTTTCATATCAAAAGTACCAATACACTCATATCCAACGTACTTTCTTTTCCTGAAGTTCCAGGGTCTTTGTTTTGCTGCTATGCCTGAATTGTCCTTCCTTTTCTTCTCCTGGAAATAAGCAACATCTGTTTACTGAAGGTGAATGGTGTGCCAACGACATGTAACACTGTTTTTACATCCTGAAACATCCACTGAAGCTGCAGATGCAGAGAAGTCCCAGTACCCCAGCAGAACACTCTCTAGTTCTCTTTTCTTGATCCCAACTCTGTCTGAGCCCTTTCTACCATCTTTCACAAAAATAAAGCAGGTCATCAAATGCATTAAAATATTATTTTGACACCACTTAGCAAGAATTTGTGCCAAATAAAAAAAAAAAGAAAAGAAAAGAAAAAGAAGTGAGGGAAAAAGAAAGAAAAAACAAGGAACTGTAATCTGGGTTTTTTTTTAATGGGAGGCAAGTCCCAGGAGTCCACATTTATTCTCACAGGTAGTCAGCTATTTTGGTCTCCTCCTCTCCCTAAAACCAGGGAGGATTGTGAAAAACAGCAGAGAACCCTCACACTGATGACAGTGTTAAAGGAGTGGAGGTTAAATTTTAGCCCCAAAAGGTAAAGTGAACAGAAGGGGGCAGCCTGGCAAAGAAGAGATAAAAATAGAACAGTGACTAGACTTCACTTGACTGCTATTTCTGGATCAACTATGGAAAGAGATCCGAGAAGGGTTTCTATTTGTAAGGGAGAGGGAGACCAAAACAGAGTTGCATTCTAGAAGGCCACAGTCCTGCACAGCAGTTTTCTTTATGCTTCTACTTTTCTAAATCCCTGTGTTCTCACCGTTTGGAAACAGTGCTGTTCAGCCAAAATGTCATTATGCGTCTAAGTGAGTAACCAGATTAAATTTTCTGGAGCAGGACAGCAATGTGTGTGGCATTTCAATCTAACAGAAACAAAGCTGACAGCACATTATAAAAGCATGTAGCAAATCACAAGGCCAAGCAGAGCAAACTAAGCCACATAATACTTTAGGAAAATAACCAAAGCCCTGCAGTACCTCTGAGAGGATGTCTTGTGTTTTCCCACTCTAAAATGATTAGTGGAATTCTAACTAGTTCCAATTATGGCCACAGACTAAAGAAGACAACAGGAACCTCCCAATTCCAGTATGTAGTGCTTGACTGACACATGGCTCTGGGGACGAATGTTTCTGCCTGTTCGAGCCCTTTCCTCTTGAGTACCTCAGTTAAAATTCCTTCCATTGAGTAATTTCTATCCAGATCCTGGCTGTGCTGGCTGTGTTCCCATATAAAAGAAAACCTGCAGGCAGAAAGCAGTGCCATCTGCCAAGTCAGAAGCTGCTTTAATGGGCGAGTTTGGTGTGAAGGGGAACAGACTATTACGCTTTATCTTCAGGAGCAGAAGTGGTGTTTTTCCTTTCCCAGGAGCAGGTTACAGTGAGCACACTCATGCCTGAAGTATTCGTCCACAAATATACATAGATCTCAATGGATACTGCACAAGCAACCTCCAGAAAAAAAAAAAAAAAAAATCTATCCAGCATCCCTTTTTTCCTGTTCAACCTGCAATTCAGTCTTTACATTTCTCTTTACCTGTCAGACCACTTTTTTTTTTTTTCTTGTGACAGCTTCATCAGCCTCCACTTTCTATTCCTGTAAGTGAATGACAGCCCTGCCATCACACCTAGGAAGTATGAGCAGTGGCAAGGCAGAAACACCAAGGCCCTACTGTCCCTACACAGAGAATTCTGCACTGAAGCTGTTTCTAAACATTTTTTTCCCAAGTTTCTTGTCCCTTTTCCATAACTGTTTTGACTGGATGGTTTGCTCTGAAGTCTCATCTGGAGCAGGTTTGGGACTTGTGTGGCCCAGTTCAGGTTTCACAAGAACCAACGGAAAAACTTCCACTGAATACTTCATCCTTGCAAATATCTTCAGGGCTAGGAAAAGATCTTTCTATTCTTGCCAATTAACCAAGCACAGTTTTTATCCTTCCTTGTTGGGCAATCTTCTCATTAGACCATCTTTGGAGAGAATAGCAGATTCTCTCCGGGCTGCTGGCAGTTTTACTTAATTGCATATTTAACTTTTTATTCAGCACTTAAACTCATAAGGATGAGAAATACAAACATGCAAGCACCAAACTATCATCTGCCATTTAAACTCCCTAGAGAACTCATAAACTTCTTAATATTTCTGTCCCTTTCAGAAGAAAAGTGCACACATTCTACAGCTAGGGTGGGGGGAAGATGACAAACACATATATAATGTAATTTCAGTGATATATTAGCCATTACTGACAAAACTCCAGTTTCAGAAGGGAAGGGGTACTTCAGTCCTTAATGTATTTTAAAAGTTCTGAAAAAAATCAGCCAACTCAATCAGTGCTAAACAGAAACTGGTATTATAGTATCCACTTACTATAGGTTCCTCCTCCCCATCAGGCAGAGAACATTCTGTCAGGGCACAGCAACTTTACTTCTCTTCTCCCCCGCCCCAACTCTGAGTGCTGAATTAAAAAAATATTTTACAGATGCTAGTATCCATAGGAATGTATTTCCTATTTGATTCCAGAGCAACTGAATTTGCTCTGGAACACACTTGTTGCCGCTGGATTGTGCTCTGGAATGGCAACTTCCATTTCAAAATGCTTCCAGCCCTTACGACTGCAAAACCTTTTAAGTATGAATGGTCTATAATCAGCAACAAAGCCACTGAAGTCTTCAGAAACAGCAGAACAGCTTCAGTACTATTATCCTTCATCACAGTACGCGAAGTATAGAAATTAACGTTGATAGCACTTCAGAAGGAGCTGATTAATGGATCACCTCAGACTTGTAAAAACCTGACGCTCCCCTATGCAGGCGCAAACCCCCAGTATTTCCAGTCTGTTTTCCAAAACCTCCCGTTTCCCCATGATAAAACTTCTGTGAGTCAGCTATGTGAAGCTAATACAAAAACCAGTGTGACAAAGAAAATGAGAGTGTTGGAAACGTGAATTAATCAGCACGTTATTGTATTATAAGCTTTTCTAGTTCCTCTATTAAAAACCTTTTCAATACAGAAAGCTACCAGATATTTCCAGGCTGCTCTATCAAAGTGCAAAGGCTTTGCTGGCGATAGCAGTTCTAGCTTGGTAAAGGTAAGACCATACCCAGACCTTGGCAGACCTTCCAGCTGACCACTAGCATATTTGTGCTGCTGTCAGCAAACATGGAGTGTGAGATTTAAGAAAAGGAAGGGTACCTGAAAGCCTTCTAGACATCCCACCTAATCAGAGTAACACTGGCAAGGACTCAGTAACATTCTTAAGTAATTCTCATGACAATTACTTCAGCTGGTTTTCAGTCTTAACATACAGAACCATCCCGGTTCTCATTTGGGCTGCTTTTTCTAACGATGTGGTTTAAAAGCATCAGGGAAACGTTCAAGTTTAAAAGCTGCAGAGCAAAAGGCAGGCAACCTTTATGTTCTCTAATGAATGGTTATTTATTGCTACATTTATTTAAGTGGTACTTATCATCATAAATATCTACTAAACTTACTTGCCATACTGGTGTAATCAGTGCTTTCCCAGGTAATACCCTTGTGTAAATGCATTGCAAAAATAAAGAGAAGAGTAAGTGAGTAAACAACTAGAAATGCCCCTTAAGAAAAGTCTTCAAAGGGAGGAAAGCCTGAAGACCAATGAACATTTAAATACTTCCCAGTTTAGGCCTATTTCATTGCACAAGATCCAAAATAGTTTCCTTCCCAAGTATTGCATAAGAAGTTCATTCAAAATCTAGCAACTTTTCTCACAGAACACACCAAGACACTGTTCTCTCCCCCGCTTTTTTGTCTTTTAAATATGAGCACGAGCATTTCATAGCTGATAACATTCTCCTGGAAGCTCAGACAGAATATTCTGGAAAAGACTCAAGTTTGGACTACAATGGTGTAAGTAATAGCAAACATCTTCACATATTCAAATTCTTCATGCAGCACTCTCTGTAAAATGCAAGCAACAGAACAAGTAGCTTTTACAGGGCTTTGGAAGCGACCTTTGGCCTCCAAGCCATAAATAAGGAAAAAAAGAAAAAGCCTACATACCTTCAAAGCACATTTTTGGCCTGTCTCCTTGTTGAAACACTCCAGTACTTTGCCATTGATTCCTAACCCTAGCACCCGTTTGGAGAGTTTGTAGTCATCGGTAACTGCATGTTTTTTTATCTCCAGTTTGACATGGGCCGCTCCCCCAGGCAAGGATTTCACACTGCTCTTGCTTTCCACGTGACTCTCTGGCTGGGATTCCTGTTCACCTTCACTTTGTTCCATATCAGGGAAGAGTCTGAGATGACAGAAATACCCAACAGATTCCCTGTGGGGTATCCTCAGAGTCCCTCCTCTTGGGTGATCAAACCCACTGCTTCAAACAGTCCATTTGCTCGCCATTTAGTCCTGAGTAAAAACGTAAACCAGTATTAGCAATTGATGTCAACTAACCATTCTCCCACCTCACTACTTTTCTCTCTTCCTTTCTTGAACAAGATGACCAGGTGCTAGTGAGACCAAAAGCAGAGGTTGACCTCAGGAAAGCACACTTTGTTTAGCCTTACAGACCAGTCACCCCCATTCCAACATACACAGCGATCAGTCTGCAGTTATAAATTACCGCTTTTACTGCAACAAGCGCCTGCGCTGAGTCTTGGACTAAAGTCTTACTTAGCTAAGCTCTGTACAACAGAGCAGAGACAGCCTCTGCTTCAAGGAGCTTATGAACCTGCATCAACTTCTTGCCTCAACTTTTTATGTAGAAATCTCCGCAGTGGCCCCCTGCCTCATCTTGACACTCCAAGTTACACAAGAGAACCACGAACACCTGGATTAAACCCCAGAGGGGCACCGCCTGGGCACGCATCGGACCTGACGCCGAGCCAGCGCTTACCGAACTGCCCTCGTCCACAGAGCGAGGGGCAGGCGCAGCATTACTTAGGGGACCATCAAACCACCTAAAAACTCGGGTATGTCGAGATGCAACGGCGTGGCTCCCAAAGGCGAGGAGCTGCCTGGCCCCGCTGGGGACCAGAGGGCCTCTGGCCTCTCAGGACCGTAGTCCCGGGGAAGGTACCGGTGCCAGGGCCTCCGAGCCCCGTTAACACCGCTGAGCCACGAGCAGGCGAAGCACGGCGGGGAGGCTGAGGGCCGTTCCTCACGCCGTCGGGCTGCCGGGCCCGAGGCCTGCCCCGCAGACAGCCGCCCCGGGCGAGGGAGCGGCTCCCTCAGTGAGAGCCAGCGGCGGGGCGGCCCCGCCAGCCCCCCCCCCCGCACTGCGAGGCGGAGGGCGGGAAAACCCTGAGGTGAGGTGAAGCGAGGCGAGGCAGACCCCCACGGGGGGGAGATTAGGAGGGGGGGGACGGGGAACCACCGGGGTGGTAGCGGAGGGTCTGACGGTGGGGGACCTCCACGCCGAGCCCCGCCGGAGGACGGTTACCTGCCTGTGAGCGGCGCGGCGCGGCCCCAGCCGAGGCTTCCCGGTGCGGAGTCCCGGAAGGCGGGGTTC